TGTCTGAAGACGTTTCCGTGGTCATGTGGCCGGCATGACTAAACACCAAGGTGCACGGAACGCTGTTACCTTCCCACCGAAGTGGTCCCTAAATCAATTGAAGGGTATAACTGTTTGGGATTACAGTGTAAAGAACCAAACACAGTTTGAGTCCAGGGGCACCTTTAAGATCAAGAAAGTTTTAATCACGGTATGAGCTTTTGTGTGCAAGTACACCTCCTCAGATACCGTGGAACAGTGGAAATAACGTGTATTATTATTATCACCATTATTATTATTGCTTTTTTAACAGAAAAAGAGGTTCCAGAACTCTCAAGCAGGAAATGAAGTTTTCAATCTGTATACTGAAATCCACGAACTTTTAAACATTTTAAAAATAAGTTTGTGGAAGAGGTTCCAGAACTCCATTCCGCGACGTTCCCCCAGAAAAAGCTGCTGCTGCTGCTACTACTAGTAAAAGTAAAGATTTCCCTTGCTCGAAAGGCAGTCGAATCCGACTCTAGGGATGCTCCACATGACCACCATAGCTGGTTCCAAGCCGAAGAGCCAGTGTTGTCCGAAGACATTTCCGTGGTCGTGTGGCTGGAATGACTAGACACCAAGGCGCACAGAACACTGTTACCTTCCCACCGAAGCAGTACCTATTTATTGACTTGCAATTTTTTGCTTTCAAACTTCTAGGTTCTACTACTGCTAGAAGGTTCCCTTGCTCGAAAGCCAGTCGAATCCGACTCTAGGGTTGCGGTGCTCATCTCCGTTTCAAAGCCGAAGAGCCAGCGCTGTCCGAAGACGTTTCCGTGGTCATAAACACCGAGGCGCATGGAACGCTGTTACGGAACTACTACTGCTACTACTATTATTATTCCTCTTAAACTTGACATCCAGCGCTGGATTTTACCAGGCTCTTGATTTCAGGACCGAGAATCTTTGCCGCTTCCTCCTCCTGGCTGAGGCAGATCCAGGAAAAGAAGAAAAGGCGTGTCAGTGTTCAGAGTTAAAAAACAAAAACCACAAAACCCCGAAGGCAACAGCAGCCTGTTAACTGCAGCTGTTAATCCTTTTAGCCCAATCCGTTTTAGCAGGGCATGCCTACTTCTCGTCTTTCTCTCGCTCCCTCTCCCCGCCCCCCGGCAGCAGCAGCCGCCATGGCAGCCGGGGATCTCGTCAAGGAGTTCTGCGAGGAGACGACTTGTTCCGTCTGCCTGGAATATTTCCGAGACCCGGTGATGGTCGTCGACTGCGGGCACAGTTTCTGCCGCGCCTGCATCACCCAGTACTGGGGGGACGCCGACCGAGCCCCCTCCTGCCCCCAGTGCCGAGAGACTTTCCCGCAAAGGCACCTCCGGCCGAACCGGCAGCTGGCCAATTTTGTCGAGCTGGTCAAGAAGCTGGAGGAGGGGAGGAGGGCCAAGCAGAAGCGGGGGGCGTGCGAGACGCACGAGGAGCCCCTGAAGCTCTTCTGCAAGAGCGACGGGGCCCTCATCTGCGTGGTGTGCGACAGAGCCAAGGAGCACCGCGAGCACGACGTCGTTCCCGTGGAAGAGGCTTTCCAGGAATTGTTGTTGTTGTTCAGTCGCAGTGACCCGCATAGGATTTGTTACACTGGGGGGTGATTTCACAAGAGTGCCTCACCTGTCCTGCAGAAGTTTCCTCACAGCACCCCAGAAGGATTTTTTCCCTTAAACTGTGGCGCACGTCTTACAGAACTGAGGCTGTTGCCTTTCTGGTTAGCCGCAGAGCAACAGGTGGCAAACTAGATGTAATCCAGCAGCGCTTTCTTATATCTTTTACATCAGTAGGGTTATCTACTGGAGATCATGGGAGGTGGTAGGCCCGCTCCAGTCCGTAGCCAGGATTTTTAAAGTCAGGGTGCATTTAAATTACTTAGGGGGCACTGGCTAATCGAAGGGGCTGAAGCACATTCTCTCCCCCTGCCATAATTGTGACCTGAAGTGGGACTTTGCATACTTTGGAATTCAGTTCCACCTGAACTCACAGCTGCTCTCTGGCTATAAGTCTGTCATGGTTGTTACATGTCAGATTTAACATCTAGTTCAGACCTTGGTATAAAACAGCATAATGTGGCCAATGCTCCCTCTAAGCTGTGGAGTCTTGTGAGCAAAAATTCTACTTTGTGAGCTACTGGCATTAAAGTTGTGAGCGAGCAATTTGGCTGCTGCATAAATTAGTTTGCTCTGAAGCCATCCTTCCTCAACTGAGACAAAAAAGTGTGAGCCGGAGGCTAAAAACATGTGAGCTAGCTCACACTAACTCATCTTAGAGGGAACACTGAATTATGTAACTAGTGTGGAAACAGCTTTTTTTATTTTTTTAAAGATGTGTTGACCTCCTTCCAAAGTGATAGCCTTTTCTGTTTGTTTAGGGAAGAATCAAGGCCCAGTGGAAATCTCTGGAGAAAGAGAGAGATCGCCTTGTGGAATGGAAACTTGTCAATGAGCAGCGAAGCCTTAATTGTCTGGTAGGTGTTTCTTGCTGCGACTCTCACGTTAGGGATGAGTATTGTGTCTGGTAGACTCTTCAACTGCTGAGGCAACAGATATCTCAGAGTCTGACAAGTTTGAGGTGTTCTGTGTTGTCTTAAGAACTGGTTCAGAGGTAGATTCAAACAACTTGCAACAATGTGTTTAAATTAAGGGCATGAAGGTACCGGCTGGATATTAGGAAAAACTTTTTGACAGTCAGAGTTGTGCAATAGTGGAATCAGCTGCGTAGTGGGGTGGTGAACTCCCCCTCATCGGCAGTCTTTAGCAGCGTCTGGACAAATACGTGTCAGGGATGCTCTAGGCTGATCCTGCACTGAGAAGAGGTTGAACTAGATGGCCTGTGTGGCCCCTTTCAGCTCTGTGATTCTGTGACTGGGTTACTGAAGCATCAAGGAATGATTTCTGTCATGAATGGAAATTAGGCAACACCTTACAGTCACCACCATGCAAAAATGTTCCACCCGTAATCATTCAGGACTTCGAAGGCTGTTTCTTAAAAAGAAAAAAAGAACAAGAAATAGAAGCCATTATAGATTTGGATCCACTTCATGCATCAAATACGACAAAGGCCATATCACGTGATATGAAAGCTCAACAAGTTGTCATGTGCTCAATAACTGGTGAAAAAGCAAGTGATAAGCTTGCATTGTGTGAACCAGTCTTAAGTATATACTTCAAATAAGGCTTCATGGAAATGCTAATCTAAGAGCTTTACATTCCATCAAAAGAGTCAATGGGCTAAATTCCAAAACAACAGCAGAAGGATCCAAGTATCAAATTCTTTCAAAAAAATATGCAGTGCCATGTGATACAGATTAAATTAGGTCAGAAATAAGTTGCCATTGTTCCTGCGCTAGGCCCTGCTTCAGACACTTATCCAGGCAGAGGTCCTCCTTTTGCTGTGGTATAATCATAATGACCGATTGCTTTTACTTCACAAATTAATACGCTAATGATCTTTCCCTCGTCTGTGGGGAAGAGTAGTATAAACTTCAGGCATATGAGCCTATGTATGAAGTGCTTGTGCTCTGTGTGATTTTCGCTGTTGTTTGCTTTCTCTTTTTGAACCTGGTTTCCCCCCCAAACTAGTAATTTTATTAAAATACAGTTCTCTGCCAAATAGAGTCACTGTTACAATCACAGGCAACTAAGTAATTTCCCTTGATCCTGTCCCGTCTTTGGCTTTTCCCAACCTCTTGCGTTTCCCCCCTCAGGCAAAATTAGGTGTGGAGAAGCAGAAGATCAAGTCGATCTTCCGCCAAATGCAAACCTTTCTTGAAGAAAAGGAACATGCCCGGCTGGCACAGCTTGAAGCTCTGGAAAACGAAACCAAGAAATGGCAGGAAGAAAATGTCCTCTGGCTCTCTGAGGACATTTCCAGTCTTAATCACCTGATCAGTGAAATGGAAGAGAAGTGCCAGCTCTCTGCAAATGAATTCCTTCAGGTAAGCAATTCATGTGTCCCATCTATTTATTCTGCCAAATTTACTCCCAAAGTTGTTTATATTCAAAACCCATCACATTTAAAAAAATTATTTAGATCTGTAGTTCTGCCATGATTTTTCTCTTCACAATAAATGAAGCTACGTATAATACTGCATACTCTGTTGGGACCTGGCAGAACAGTGTCATTTGGTAGAGATTATTGTGAGAAGTGGATTGTTCTAGAAGTTGTTAGTCTTTGCTCTCATTCCCCTCTTTTAGCTGCTGGATTATCCCAAGGATAATGAATTCCCACCTGGACTTGCAACCCCCACACTCTAATAAGCTGGACAGCACAGGGGTGGTTTTAGTGATTCTGGGGTCCAGGGCAAAAGTCTAAAATGGGCCCCCGGAATCACTGTCACCCCCAGAGGCTCTTCCTGTTGTGGCCATGTAAGAGGCATCACCAAAAGCTGGCTGCCCAAGCCCTGGATGGAGTGTGTACAAGTGGCTGTCTTTGTGAGCAGGCAACTTGAATCGTGCATGGGATGAGAGGCAGCAGTGCGAGCCTGTTTTTCTCCAGTCTTCTCTCCCTCCGTCAAGGGGGTAGGGCCAGACCCATAGCCAGGATTTTGTGGCTTGTGGGGCAATTTTTTTCCTGCTGGGGCTGAAGTTCTCAGGCACGAAACAAAGTCCATTTAGCCAATAGAAAGCTGTTACCAGGATTGATCTCTGCATTGCAAGCTGTCAGCCACTTTAGATGACAGTTCTCAGCTGCTGCAAGTTAATCGCTTCTGCCAGCCTAAGCAACAATTCTGATAACAAGCTGGCAGGTGGGGGTGATGACTTCTATAGTCAAGAAAGCAAACACTTAGGTAGAAAAACTATCTTAAAGGAGACCAGTTTCTTGACACAGAGTTAGAAGGGATCAGAGAGGTCACCTACTCCAACCCCCTTGCTCAGTGTGGGAATTAGTAAACTACAGCACCTCACTCTAGTTAAAGGAGCACATGCCTTTAAAAACATTTTTAAATGGTTGAAAAAAGCATTTGCAGGATAAATTCTTGTGGGGCTGTGCCTTTAAGAAAGGGGGTGGAGCCCCCAAAAGCCCCACTGTAGCTATTGGCCTGGGTAGAGCTGTGGACAATTGGGCCCCCCTCAGCACATGGCCCAGGGTAGTTGCTCCTGTTGCCCATTGGCTAGGACCAGCCCAGGACAGTATAGATGATCAACTTCAGAAGCAACCTGTTACCTGTTAAGGCCTGGCAGAACATCCTTTGAAGTTACTTGAGGTAAGAAGACTTGAGAATGGTACCTGATTTTTCCAGATGCTAAAGGGGCACAGGAATCCCAGCTAGCCCTGTGTTTTGTTCTCTGTGAGACCCACTTTTCCTCTTTCTCTTTTTCAGGACATCAGAAGTACCTTGAGCAGGTGTGTGGCTCTTTTTTAACACCCCCCCCCTTGGGTTTCAATCTTGATTTTAAATCAGATATATACACTCCTGAAAATTTGGATGTTTCTACTTAGTGCAGTCATATTTTGTGGGGAATGTATGAAGAATCCTCAAAGTTCACTTCCCAAGCAGTGTTGGAATGATATTTCTGATCCTAATGTTTGGTCTCACTTGTGTCTCTTCATCAGATATCAAGATTTTTTCTTTTGTGAAAATTAACATAGGAAACTGGTTTATACTGGGTCTGACCATCGGTCCATCTAGCCCAGAGCTGCCCGCTCCTACTGGAAACACTTCTCCAAGATCTCAGGCAAGGACCTTTTCCAGCACCTGAGATCCCGGAGATCCCACGGCCTCAGCTTGCTTGTTTTTCTGTGCAAAGCAATTATTCAGCAGCAGTGACAGGCAGTAGCTCAGGAGCCACCAGGGGCTTTTCTGAGCACCAATGTGGCCCCCTCCCCCATGTTCCAGGGAAGTCTATGACCCAGTAGTGGTTGTGGTTGAAAGCTGGTTCCCACTTTGCATAGCAAGAGGTTCTAACCACCCTGTCTCCTGCAACACTAGGGTTCCACTGGAAGGGCACTTTTTTAACACAACAGAGCATCTATCTTTTAACATCCAGCTCAAGAAAGATTTCTGGAGAACTTGTAAACTGGCATTCTGTTTTGTGTCATACGTCTGACTTGCAAGCCCTCCTCTGTACCCTTCCCCTTTATGTTAGATACACAAGGACTAGCTAAGGTCCAGCAGCAGAAGGGAGAGACCACCCTATGTTCTGGTAATTAAAAAGGTTATAGTTATACGTTTGAGTACTTGCATTTAATTGTATGTGTGTGTTTTTGGTGGGGTAGCACAGAGGGCATACAGTAGACATGTGGCCCTTTTTGTTGATGGTGATTTTGAATGTGGCTGTCTATGAACCATGGAGTGAGCACCATTGCTTGACAGCTAAGCAGGTGATGTCTCCTGTGTTCGTGCTCCTGGAGTAATTTCCATTTGCCTCACCTTATCTCTGGGGAATCCTACAGTTATAGTCCCTGGTGGACAGGGCAGCCTGGTAACTTTCTACTGCCGGCACAAGCTTTTCCTTCCATATACTGATCTTCTACGGTACTCAGTTTTATTCTGGAATCAGAAAAAATTAGTTTATGGAAGGTTTTATTATCTTTTTTTTCTCTAGGAGTGAAAGTACCTGGAACATGGGCTGTGGCTCCATGGTAGAGCAACTGTTTGGCATACAAAAGGACCCAAGTTCAATCCCTGGCATCTCCAGTTAAAAGGATCAGACAGTAGGTGCTGGGAAAGACCTCTGCCTGAGGCCCTGGAGAGCCGCTGCCAGTCTGAGTAGACAGTTCTGACTCTGGTGGACCAAGGGTCTGATTCAGTATAAGGCGGCTTCAAATGTTCATGTGTTCAACAGAAGGTCCATGTTCAGAGGCAGTAACCCTCTAAATACCAGAAGTGAGAAATGAAAAGTCGGGAGAGGCTGGGGCCTCTTTGCAGGGCCTTCCAGAGGGATCTGGTTGGCCACTGTGTGAAACAGGATGATGGGCTGGATGGACCTTCAATCTGATCTAGTATGGCTGCTCTTATGTTCTAACCTGTTTCGCAAAAGTGCTCCAAGACTTGTATGGTAGATGATAACACTGATCTTCAAGAGCTCCTACTTATTTACTTATAGGTTACAGTTCAACCAAAGAGAGGGCTCAATCTGTTCCTGAGTAACAGCTCAGCCATCCATTCCAATGCTGCAGCGTAGCTTCTAATTCACAGAGGCAACGTTCCATATCTTTTCCTTCAACTTGACCATCTTTCCTCACAGGTATGAGAAGAAACAAGAGAGGAATGCAGTGGAATTCTCTCCTGGGCTGGAAGAGAGACTCAGAATTTGCTGTCAGAAGAATTCTGCTCTAGAAGATGTTATCGAAGTCTATAAAGGTACTGGGAATAGCTCTAGGAGGGGACTGGATATAGATCTCTGGGGATGAACTTCTTCTGGGTTGGTTTCAGGGAAAGTCGGACCCTTGTTATAGAACTGACTTTCCTGATGAAGCTCTTTTGAGAGTCTGAAGAAATACCTCACAAAACATCCCTTCTTCCCTTTCTGGTTAGGAGACTTTCCAGTGAGGAAGAGACCACATCAAAAGGAATCTGTCCTTGTATCTCCTACGTGGATCAGTGGGGTGTGGAAGTGGGAGAGAATGAGATAATCCCTCTCTCCTCATCCCTTCCAATTTGATCGCTTGGGAGGGGAGAAACCCATTTGTCCTGAACTTCAGTTCCACTCCCTGTCCTGTCTCTGCTTCCCCGTGCCCCCCTTGGGTCCAGTCCCCACTTTCCTTTCTGTCATCTATCTCCCTACTCCCCTCCCTTTCCCCAACTTTGATGGTCCTGGTTTCTTTCTATTATATTTTTCTCACCCCCTCCACTCTATGGACTCTGTCTCTGCTTCCTGCCCAGCCCCATCTCCTGTCACTGTCTACCACTTTTTCTTCCCTATGCCTCAGCCTACTCCCCCCATCCAGAGCTCCCTGGTATCTCCTTCCCCCACACACTTTCACCTCCTGTGTCAGGTGTGGAGGTTAGGCACCATTTTGGTCTTCAGGAACCTGCTGTTTTGCACAATTTTGTGGAGGGGCCACATTTGGCTATTAGAAGGAAAATCTTGTGGTCATTTAATTCTGAGCCATCCCTCAGAATTAGTTAAGTGTAGTAGTTAAGTGTGCGGACTCTAATCTGGAAGAACCAGGTGTGATTCCCCACTCCCCCACTTGCAGCTGCTGGATGATGTTGGGCAAGCCATAGTTCTGTCAGAGATGTTCTCTCAAGGACAGTTCTGGAAAGAGCTCTCTTAGCCCCACCTACCTCATAGGGTGTCTGTTGTGGGGAGGGGAAGGGAAAGTAGTTTGTAAGCTGCTCTGAGACTCCAAGTGAAGGGTGGGGTATAAATCTAATCTCTTCCCTCTTAAAAAAAATTAATTCATACAAGATGATGTTAATTCAAATGGTGAACGCAATCATGACTGTTGTGCTTTCACATCAGACAACACACTGCTTGCGTGTATGTTGTGTGGCTAACCTTGCTACCTTTTCTTCCCATCACAGAGTTTCTGGAGGAAGCAATGGACAAAGGTAACTGTCTGCTATTTTTTAAATGTTTCTCCTGGGGGTACTGGCAACCCTTAACTGACTTACATGGAACAGTGGTAGAAACGTAGCTTCAATTGTTCTTATATATGTAATTGGAAAGCTCTTTCAAGAATCCAAAGTGGCACATACATTTTTGACATTAGGGTCCTGTCTTGTTGGAGGGATAGAATATATATGCAATGTGGCTGTGAAGAAAGCTAATGCAATCTTAGGATGCATTAACAGAAGCATTGTGTCCAGATCAAGGGAGGTGGTAGTTCCGCTCTATTCTGCTATGGTCAGGCCTCACCTGGAGTCCTGTGTCCAGTTTTGGGCACCACATTTTAGGAAGGATGTTGACAAGCTTGAGCGTGTCCAGAAGAGGGCAACCAGGATGGTGAGAGGGTTGGAATCCAAGTCTTATGAGGAAAGGCTGAAAGAGTTGGGGATGTTTAGCCTGGGAAAGAGAAGGCTTAGAGGGGACATGATTGCAGTCTTCAAGTATTTGAAGGGCTGTCATGTAGAAGATGGAGAAGATCTATTCTCTCTTGCTCCGGATTGCAAGACTAGATCGAATGGGTGGAAATTACAAGGGAGTCGTTACAGGCTAAATATCAGGAGAAACTTCCTAACTGTAAGAGTGGTTGAGCAGTGGAACAGTCTGCCTTGGGAGGTGGTGGATGCTCCTTCACTGGACATTTTCAAGCGGAGGCTGGACAATCATCTTTCAGGTATGTTTATGTAGGGCTATCTTTTGGCTGTGCTCCTGCAGATTGCAGGGGGTTGGACAAGATGACCTGCAAGGTCCCTTCCAACTCTAACGTTCTATGATATGGATTTTCCCTGATCTGATTTTATGATTAAAGTCAAAGTCTTCCTCAGCTAGGGATATTTACAAAATATCAAGGTCCCAAGTTCCTTCTTTTGTTAGCTGGTCCTTAACTTGCTTCTGCTTGAGAGCCAGTTTGGTGTTATGGATTTTTCCTGTTCTGATTTTATAATTAAAGTCAGTCTTCCTCAACTAGGGATATTTACAAAATATCCAGGTCCCAAGTTCCTTCTTTTGTTAGCTGGTCCTTAACTTGCTTCTGCTTGAGAGCCAGTTTGGTGTAGTGGTTAAAAGCGCAGACTCTAATCTGGGAGAACCAGGTTTGATTCCCCACTCCTTCACATACAGCTGCTGGCGTGACCTTGGGTCACTCACAAGTTCTCTCAGAGCTATTCTCTCGAGCAGTTCTCGACAGAGCTCTCTCAGCCCCACCTACCTCACAGGGTGTCTGGTGTGGGGAGAGGAAGGGGAAGGAGATTGTAAGCCCCTCTGAGACTCCTTCAGGTAGTGAAGGGTGGTGTATAAATCCAATCTCCTCTTCTTTCTTTCTTTCTTTCTTTCTTTCTTTCTTTCTTTCTTTCTTTCTTTCTTTCTTTCTTTCTTTCTTTCTTTCTTTCTTTCTTTCTTTCTTTCTTTCTTTCTTCTGATTTATATCCCGCCCTTCTTGAAGGAGGGTGCATTCCTTCTCTGACCTGAACCAGATCAAGGTGAAATCCGGAATTTAAACAATTTTCTGTGAATGTCTGTCCAGGTGCTGATGGTGATCCTTTTCCTGACGCCATCTTTCCTTTCTTTCTCTTTGTCCCACAGTGAATGTGACTCTGGATCCAGACACTGCCCATCCTGAACTCCTTCTGCCTGAGGAACTGAAGAGTGTGAGTTTGGGAGACAGAAAACAGGACCTTCCCGACAACCCTGAAAGATTTAACATTATTCCTTGTGTGTTGGGTTGTGAGAGGTTTACTTCAGGGAGACATTGGTGGGAGGTGGAAGTCAAGATGGAGGTGGAAGTGGCGGGGAAAACAGAGTGGACGTTGTGGGATGTGGGAGTTGCCAGAGAGTCAGTTAGGAGGAAGGGGATGTTCAGGTTCAGGCCCGATGAAGGGGTCTGGGCCGTGGGGAAGCCATTCAATAATCGATTCTCACCCTGTCAGCTCTTGGCTTTCACTTCCTCTTCAATTACCCCTTTGACACTGAAACGTGACCCCAGGAAGATCCGGGTGTCCCTGCACTATGAGGAAGGCCGGGTGGAATTTTTTGATGCTGACACAGAGGACGTCATCTTCTCCTTCCCTTCTGCCTCATTCTGTGGGGAGAAGATCCGTCCCTTCTTCTGGGTGGGGTGGTTTGGAGTCACTTTGAATTGCTCAGTCTAGAAGCCAGTCCCCCCTCCCCCACTTCAGCTACCTTGAAAGGGGGTGGTAGTATCTTACAGCTGTATGGAAACCAGGCAAGGGGCTACAGTCTTAGTGGCTTTCCTGCCGCACTTCTTTCTGATTGCAGGGTTCCCGTCCTATAGAGAAAGGGAGGCAGGACCCAAACAGCATCTCTCTGGGCCCTGTAGAAGCTTCTAAGATGAGCCCCCTCTGTGCTTATCCTATTTCATACGTACAATTCGATGAGAAGAAAAATGTCTATTATATTTTGATTTTTAAATGTCATGAATAGACCCCCTTGTAACAATGGACTGGCAACCCGGGTCATCCCCGTAAAACATAGCTTTCCCCTCTCCTTTGCTCCAGCAGTGGTCAGGGATGGAATAGAATAAATGCTCAGAAATATCAAGTGAAACTGGCAGGAGAAGACGCTCCCGTTCCTTGCAGAAGTAATAGGTCATTCTAACACACACACACCCAATTAACATAGAAGTAGGCTGTGCAAGGTCGGTAGTTCAGCAGTTCGAGACCCGAGTGTGCCGCATGACGGAGTGAGCTCCTGGCTCTAGTTCCAGCTCCTGCCAACCTAGCAGTTTGAAAGCAAGAAATTGCAAGTAGATAAATAGGTACCACTTCGGTGGGAAGGTAACAGCATTCCGTGCGCCTTGGTGTTTAGTCGTGCCGGCCACATGACCACGGAAACGTCTTCGGACAGCGCTGGCTCTTCGGCTTTGAAACGGAGATGAGCACCGCAACCCTAGAGTTGGATTCGACTGGCTTTCGAGCAAAGGAACCTTTACCTTTACCTTTAGGTTTGTGGTGCCTGGACCTGGATGACCTAGGCTAGTCCGTTTTTGTCAGATCTTGGAAGCTAGGCTGGGTTGGTCCTTGGATGTACTTAGTACTTGTCATCTTCTGGGCGTGTCACGGGGTGTGCATGGGGGAGGTATTTGTGAATTTGTGGTGCCTGGATGACCTAGGCTAGTCTGTTTTTGTCAGATTTTGGAAGCTAGGCTGGGTTGGTCCTTGGATGTTCTTAGTACTTGTCATCTTCTGGGCGTGTAACTGTGGTCACAGAGTGTGCATGGGGGAGGTATTTGTGAATTTCCTGCATCGTGCAGGGGGTTTGACTAGATAACCCTGGAGGTCCCTCCCAACTCTGTGCTTCTGTGATTCTGTGAAAGACCATCAAGGAAGTCCAGGGTCACAACTCAGAGGCAGGTAATGGCAAACCAGCTCTGAACATCTCTCGCCTTGAAAACCGCATGAAGGGTTGTCATATGTCATCTGCATCTTGACAGCATTTTCCACATCAAGTTAGTGGCAGGCACCTGCCCTCATCTCCATCTGCTGAAGGTTGCCGCTTAAGAGGCTTTCAAAGGAATGGGACCCTTGCTCCCCCCCCCAGCGTGGGACGTGGCAGAAAAAAGTAAACTCCTTGTTGACATAAGGCATCCTGTCAAGAACGGTTCATCAAGAGGAATCTTCTAGCCTGGCCTGCGTCTGCTGAAGGTTGCTGCTTAAGGCTTTTAAAGGCATGGGACCCTTGCTCCCCCTCCAGCATGGGACGTGGCAGGAAAAAGTAAACTCCTTCTTGACATAAGGCATCCTGTCAAAAACGGTACATCAAGAGGAATCTTCTAGCCTGGCCTGTGTAACTTTTCACACTGACTCCTGTCTTACCATTTCCTCACATGTAGAAATCTCTGACCGGGAACCAGAGATGTCAGTTGTGTAAACGGAGTTAGCACTGTCACTGTCGTGTCTTTTTGCATCCCGGTAACATTCTAGGCCAGACGTTCCTATATTTCTAGAAGCCACTGCATAGCTATAAAGGCAGGAGTTGCCTGTAGGAGTGGGAGATGTAGTTGGGGTGGGAAGGTGCCTGCTGGAACCCAGAAGGGGAATGAAACCCTTTCACAAGCAAGGAGATGAGGCTATCCAGAGGCAAGTCATTTCACAGCAGGAGAAACGGTTAAAGATTTCCTCTTCCTATGCTGCTCTTCTCCTCAATAAAGCAGCTCTGGCAGCAAGATTTGCAAAAGAAAAAAAGTTGTTTAAAATAAACACGGGGGAAGAAGTAGTGGTGTGTAATTGAATCCCTAGACTGCCAGCACTCGGGCTTAAATCCCTGCTGAGCCATGAAGTTCGCCTTGGGCTGGTCACTATTTCTTCGCTTAACCTATCTCACAAAATTGTTGTGAGGAAAAACTAGTGTTGAGGAAGAGCAGGATACATCTAGTATGGCATAGTAGTTAAGAACGTTGGCCCCAAAATGGGAAGACCAAGTATAAATCTTTGCTTGCTGTGAAACTTACCATATTTACTCGAAAGGAAGACAATTCTGAATGTAAGATGACCCCCCTAAAAAAAAAACCCCATTATACACCACAGTTATAACTTGTATGAAGATATAACCTGATACATCTCTCTTTTGTTATGGCACACATGACTTTTTTTAACTGATAGAGTCCTAATTGAGATTTTAAACTGTGGGTGTTGTTTTTTTTTAAAGTTGTTTTGTTGACATTTGTAAGCCGCCTTGAGTTCCAACAGGGTAGAAAGGCAGCCAAAAACTTTTAAAATAAATAAATAAAATAGGCTTCCTTTTGAGTAAATACAGCACTTAATTATCTTGGTCTAGTCACCCTCATGTTAAGCTACCTCACAGCATGGAGATAAAGTGGAGCAAGCGGGAACTGTGTATACTGCCCGGAGTTCCTTGGAGAAGGTGTGGGATGAAAATTTACTAAATAAAGAATCTGTAACAGTGCTATTTACTTGTTGTCTAGTTGTTTGTATGGTATAATGTTGACTGGCTGCTGGTTTTCTTATTCCCCCCAAAAAAGAAGAAAAACCCTTCAAACTGAAAAAGCAAACTAAAAGGTACAGACGGTTGTAAAATATAGGTGTGGAAAAACAACAAAAACTACCTAGAGCCCACAAATCACAAGCGACTATATGCCCACAATATTTAAAATTATGGTAACAATGCCATTAGTTGCCAATGATAGAGTTCTCCAATGTGGGCATATATTCGTCGTTTATTGTTTGTGGGCTCTAGGTGGTTTATGTGATATCTACACACCTATATTTTGCCCCCTTCTTTTATTACCATTCACTAAATTTTGAAATTCTGACAGTTGATGAATGAGGTGTGGCCTGGAACCCCAAATGGCCAAAGCTGCTGTTTCAAAAAGCATATTGTAGAGCTGGAAAAAGTACAGAAAATGATACTCCCAAACAAGTGGTTCAAGCAACTTCTCTGCCTGGAAACAGGGTGTCTGTTGTGGGGAGGGGAAGGGAAAGGAGATTGTAAGCTGCTCTGAGACTCCTTGGGGGGAGTGAAGGCCAGGGTACGAATCCAATCTCTTCTTTTCCTCTTCTCTCTCAAGACTCAAACCCACTGAATTCAATAGAGCTTATGCTCCTTGTTAAGTGTGCATAGGATTGCTTTGTGGATATGTGGGGAAGGGCCTGAAAGTTGAAGAATTCTTGGAAATGTATGCACCTCACAAAAAGTTTTAGAGGCATTGTCAATATCTTCCCAAAACAGAAATGAGGATTGCTTTTTCCAAAGACAGGTACTAGAAAACGTCTGAGTCCGATTCTAAGATGCTCTGTTGGTGCAAAGACCACCTCCTCCCTAAACAGCCATCTAATACATTTTATTGAATCAACAAAATGACATAAGCCACTGTGCAAGCTCTATAACTCTTGGTCATGCTGACACGCACACACACACACAGCTATATATACAACCATATAACTCAATCTCTCTAATCCACACCCCCGTTCCCTGCTTTTAATACAGAACCTGATAAACATTGACCAGTTCTGGAGAGCTGGAACGTTTGCACAACCAACCAAACTAGACCAACCACACTCGTACACGAACTTAAACCTGATAAATCGAGTCGGTGAAGACGTTCGAAATCGACCGTGTTGCGAAGAGGACTACAATTCCCGGCAGCCCTTGGGCTTCCTGGAAGCCGGGTTTCGACATACCGCATTTGATAGGCTAAGACGAATGGCTGAGTGACTGCGGGAAGGCGGTGAAAGGAACGAAGCGCCGCTGCCCGAGGACTTGTTCAGTCGCACAGTCGAGTCCGACTCTTTGCGACCCCACGATGGACCAGATCACGCCAGGCCCTCCTGCCTTTCGTCGTGCTCCGGAGTTTGCTTAATTTCGTGTTGGTTGCCTCGATAACACTGTCTAACCATCTCATACTTTGCCGCCCCCTTCTTCTTTGACCTTCAGTCTTTACCTCCGAGGACAAAGGCAGGTAAATTGGTTTGTGCTGTAGGAGTTTCTTGGAGGCAAGTTTGAGCTCCGTTGTTGGCAAATGCCAGGAAGCGGAGGACAGAATAAAAATAAAACAGGCTTAATGATTAGTTGTATACGTTTTCCAGAATTTGGGGAGAGAATGAGTCATAGATTTCCCCTTTCTCTGCGTTAGTTATTTTACTCTTTGATTCTTTTTTGGAAAGAGGAAGTGACCGTACTTTGTATTTAGGGAGAGAGTCAATAGGTAATAGATAAATAGGGACCACTTCGGTGGGAAGGTAACAGTGTTCCGTGCGCCTTGGTGTTTAGTCATGCCGGCCACATTACATGGAAATGTCTTCGGACAGCGCTGGCTCTTCGGCTTTGAAACGGAGATGAGCACCGCAACTCTAGAGTCGGATTCGACTGGCTTTCGAGCAAGGGAGCCTTTACCTTAATCATTGTATGGGGTTTTTTTGCCTGTGTGTGTACCAAACCCATATATCTACATTTCATATGTCTTTATGAGCTGAGTATATGTAACAAATAGAGGGATAAACCACAGTTCTGAGTTCATGACCTTGCTTAGCCTGCTGACCCTGGACCATTCACTGTCTCTGGCTGTAATTTGCCTTACAGGGTTGCTGCATAAGATTAGTCACTAATGGCAGTAGTATATTGTAGTATCTTGTTTCTAACATATATGTAGTTTCTTTGATGGCTTTGGAGTATGTGTTCAGGAACCGGCAGCACCTGCGGCTTCTTCTGTGTGCCCCTTTTGTGTGAGAGAGGGAGGGGGGACACTCTCCCTAGTTTTGTGTGTTCCGGTTCTCTCTGGACTCTCATCTCCCATATCATTTTGGAAATTCCAAATGTTAGGCTGTAGCAGTAAAATAAAACAAGTGTCCAACAGCAGCTTGAACACTAACAAAATTTATTTCGGCACTTGCATTCATGAGTCAGAGCTTGCCTCAGCAGATGCACTGGAGTGCATTAGCCCCAGTGTGTATACACAACACACCAAAATATCTGATGAAGTGACTGGAGAACGATTCTGCCAGAATCAATTTTCTTAGCTTTTAAGCTGCCGCAGGACTCACGTTTCATATCATATTGGGGTTCTATGTAATCCTATGCATGAACTTCTACTTTAGAAGAAGGCTGTTGAAAGCAGTAGGACATACATCTTAGTGAATATGCGTAGCATCAGATTACATCATGATCATTTTATTGGCAGAAATGGTGAGCTGCTTTGCATGTAAAGTAATCTCTGACACTTGTGTCTCACTCTTCTTCCAAGGAGTCCAGGGCAGCATGCATCGTCCTCCCTTCCGTTCTGTCATCACAACAGCCCTATAAGGTAGGCTACCCAGTGGACTTCATGTCAGAATAGAGAACTGAAACATAGTCTTCCAGGTTCTACCCAAACTTCCTGTCCACTACACCAACAATCTAAGCGAAGTAATGGGCATTACCTTCAATGGGTGGTCCCTGTAAATTCCAAGTCTAAAACTACCAAATTGCACCCCTGTTTTGGATCATTGGTTAGTTTTCAAGGTGGTGAGGCGATGGAATGGTTGCTGAAATTGTTTCCCCCCCCTTTATTAAGAAAACATCAAAATAGTTTTTTTACAAATCTCACAATAAATTGTTAATTCTTATTCTGTTATTCCACAGTTTTTACACTTCCCAAAAGTACCTGTGTCAGACAATTTTTAAACATTTCTACTAATCCCATCCATTTAATTTATCCTCTCAGATATAAGAATATCAAAAATGTCTTAACATTTCAGATAAGTTCTAAAAATGCTATTTGAGACCTCTCTTCTGGTTTAGCTGAATTCCAATCATTTATAAATCATAGAATCATAGAGTTGGAAGAGGCCATACAGGCCCTCTAGTCCGGCCCCCTAGTCAATGCGGGATCAGCCTAAAGCATCCCTGACAAGCATTTGTCCAGCTACTGCTTGAAGACTGCTAGTGAGGGGAACCTCTTTTCTTCCCTAGGCAGCCAGTTCTACTGCTGAACTACCCTTACTCTGGTATGTCCCCGGGAAAGCTTTACGCTCTGCAGATAACAGCCTGCTGGTCCTCCCTGGCCCCAAAGATGTCCGGCTGTCCTTGACCAGGGCCAGGGCCTTTTTGGTTCTGGCCCCGACCTGGTGGAACTCTCTGCCTAATACCAATCAGGGCTCTGCAGGATTTTATGCAATTCCACAGGGCCTGCAAAGCAGAGATGTTCCGCCAGGCTTTTGGCTGAGGACAGTAACAGTTTTGAATCGCGGCTGGCACCCTCTCCCTTTCTCCGTTTCCTTAATTTTGATCCTGTGCTTCCTTTCTCCCCTGCCGAGAAAGTGGCCAGGTAGTCCAGAACTGGGATGTAATTATTAAGGACACCATCTGGGACTTCTTTTTGACCTGGTCTTTTTCAATTTGTCATTTTAGTTTTGTTATATTTGAATTTTTACCATATTGTACATTCGTTTTATGGCTTTGTGCCTCTCCTGTACATTGCCCAGAGCCTGACACAAGTTGGGATGGGGCAATTAATAAATCAAATAATTTAAACCCATTATTGCGAGGCCTCTCCTCTGCTGCCAACAGGAACTGCTCCCTGCCCTCCTCTAAGTGACAACCCTTCAGATACTTAAAAGAGAACAATCATGTCCCCCCTCAAATAAACACCATCTTTGAACACGGGAGAGTTTGTGGATGTGTTTTTTCCTCCTTTCATCTGTTTACAGACTGCTGTCATCCACAGTCATGATGAGCCAGCATTTTCTAAGCCACATATCAGTTGACTGGCAATCCTTCCTTATTAACAAAAGCCAGATGGGGTGGCAACATTCTATGCGTCGCCAAAACGAGTTGGCTGAATGATCTGTCAATCAGAACGTGTCCCTAGCCACCACTTAAGAGTACTCGCGTGCCATTGGCCGGGTGCTGAATTTACTCCTCTTCCCCGCCCACTCCTTCAGCCTCTGGGCCCTCTCAGAATTTCTTGGCAGACGGCTTTCTCTCTTGACGAAGACAGTTGCCTCCTGTCTGAGACTAACCCTTTCCCTCAGAAGCTGTTGGTAGGTGTAACGAAATGGCAGTTATCTGTATCTGTGAGATGGCCGCCGTCTGTGTGTTTAAAATGTTCCCCCATAAGGCTTAATTGAGCTGTAGTTCCAGAGAGGGGCCTTCCTCATCTGCTGGCCTACACTTCCTAGCTGCACCAAAAAGTGCGGGAAAAGAGGGACCTTGGGGCGGGGCAGAGATCAGTTCCCTTGGAGAAAATGGTGGACTCTGTGGCAGTCAGGGCTTTAGAGCACAGAAAATGGTGGACTCTGGCAGTCAGGGCTTCAGAGCACGGGAGAGGCTGCAGGTATGTGTGTGGGGGGAAATGGAAAGTTGAAGAGAGAGGGGGAAATAAAGATCAGTTAATGATTGGGTGGGAAGGAGATAGGATTGCCAACTCCAGGTGGGAAA